CGCTCCCGGGCCTCTCTCCTCATCCTCCCGCGGACGACTCTCAGCTGGGCCGTGGACGGCGGCCGTGCCCAGCGCAGGCGGCGTGCTCGCTGTCGTGCAGCCAAGGCCTGCGGGGACGACAGCCATGAGCCTGGGGCGCGGCGCACGGGACGGAGAGGAGACGCCCTGGACGGGGAAGGGAGCCAAGACCCCAAAGCTGCGAGGGACCGGACAACGCCGCCCGCAGAGCTGTGTGCTGCAGGCCCGGGGCGCAGCAGCGCACGGCCGCCTGAGGCCGGAGCCCAGGCCTGAGGCTACACCGCACATGGCCGCGTCCCCTTCTGTCACCTTGCAAGGGTCAGTCCCACCCATTCAAAACACGTGCATGTGCTCCCGCTTCGCAAGGCTCGTCGGGACCCGGGGACGGTGAGCGTGAGCACCGCAGGAGCGAGATGCCACGCGGTGGCCGGACGGCGTCCACACTCGCACGCACGTCCACATTCACACGCGTCCACACTCACGCACATCCACATTCACACGCGTCCACACTCACACACGTCCACACTCACGCGCGTCCACACTCATGCATGTCCAAGTCACACGCGTCCACATTCACACGCACCCACATTCACACATGTCCACACTCACAGGCGTCCACACTCACGTCTACACTCACGTCCACACTCACGCGCCGTGCCATCGGGAGTCCCAGCTGAGGCCGGAAGGTCGGCTGGGATGGGTGCATGGCCTCGGAGGGGCCATCCCAATGGCCATTTAGCCATTCGGAGGTCACGGTCTCCTCTGAGAGGACTGGAGTCGGGGTGGGGACGAGGCCTGACCGAGAGCGGACCCCATCACGCCCTGGTCACACGCCACACGTGCACACGCCGCCTGCGGACGGAGCTTCCTCTTCCCTCACGTCCCCCGCACCGCCCCGGAGAGCGCTGTGCCCGCACAGGAGGAGCTGGCCTTGGAAGAGAGGGAGTGAGGGAGGGGTGGGGTGGGGGAGTGAGCTTCCTGCAGCTCCACTGAAATGTACATGGACTAAAGTTCTCCAAAATCGTGGAGAAAATTTATATTTCCCATTTTCTTCAATATTTTAAAATACGCTCCTTTTGACGGTTTCTTTGGGGTTGGGGGAAGGTAAGGAAGTGGGTCCCACTGTCCACCTGTCACACGTGTGTGCAAAGAAGGATAAGAAACTAAAGCGCCCACGGTCCCCAGCACCGCAAGCGAACGTGGATTCGGAGCGTGAGTTCGGACTCGCACGCTGAGGCTGCCCTGTGATTCTCTAAGCTCGGTGGCCACCACGGGCCCCGTCCCCACCTCCTCCAGCTCGGGCACGTCGCAGCCGGCAGAGCGGGGCCTGCGGGGCCTGGAGAGTCCCTCCAGCTCAGCACCCAGGGCCTTGGTGGCTTCGTGCAAAGATGCAGTGAAAAAGTACTCATCGTCCTTCCTCTCCCAAGCGAAGGCCAAAGCCGCCAGGCCAATCTGCGGGGAGACAGTGGACATGGCGGTTGCCAGGCCATGTGTGCGCCCCACGGAGCTGGCCCTGTCTCATCAGGACCGGACGCACGGCCCAGCCTAGGTACAAGGCAGGGCCACTGCCTCCAGACCCCGCCGCCCACTCCCTGGGGGCGGCCCTGCGCCGAGCCCTCTG